CGCAGTTCTCTGGGACACCACTTCGCGCACTGCTGGCTGGATTGCCGCAGCTTTTCTGCGCAGTTGCTGGTCGGACTCTTGTGGATGGAGGTACTCGAGGTCGAGCTTTGCCACAGTTGCAACGGCTGCCTATCCCAGCGCCGGGGTCCTGGAGGTGTTGCTGCCTTTTCAGGTCGCTAGAGCAGCAGGTTCAGGCAACACGAAGATGTCCATGAATTCCCTCCCCAGTCAAATATTGATATGACGATGATGCCTTTGGGCTAGGCATTGCAAGTCATCTGTAGCTCAGCACTCCGCAGAATGGCAATGATTCGCATTTTACGGTTGTGGTGTTCAAACCAGTGACACGAGTCGTAAAGACATGAGGCCACCACGCACAGTCACGCACGAATGGCCAGCTTCCAAGAAGGGTTTCAAGATGTTGTTTCTATGACCAATGGAGCACAATGGAGCCATCCCGTCAAAGGCAAAATTGTCCCATATCTCGGCATCAGCGGGATTTTGCTTCAGGCCTCTTTGAATCGCTGGCCGCGCTGATGCGAGGATGCGAGGCGCACAAAAGGTGGGCCACCAATGCAACCCGCTGCCGTGTACCATAGGGCCAACTAAGGCCCGCATTGTTGCTTTTCGCGGTGCAAAGGCTTCAAATCTCGAAAACTGTGATTGCATCCCCAGCAGCGTCTTCAAGCTCAGACTTTTGGATCATGTACCAGTCTGGATACTGCTGGTCAGGTATGATTTATGTGAACTGTTGTGGATGTCAATCTGTGCTCAGCTTTTTCAGCGGATTGCAGTGAGCATCAGCCTGCAACTTCAACAAGTCACAAGCATCAACCTCGGATACCCGGCTCCAGAGTTTGAGGCTGTAGGGTGTAGCATCATAGCAGTCATGGCGACGCAGGATGACATGCACGACGAGGAGATGATTTTGTTCATTGTCAAAGCTCTCGCGAGTGCATCACATGACACAGACGGCTTAGAGAGGACCAAAGCAATTCTCCGTGCTCCCCATGTTCGCCTTCGTTATCGCCAGGCTCCATAACGACTGCTGCATGATGCGTGGGAGACCTCATGTTGCAGAGCGAAGTAGCATAGCTTCATAGTACTACTGATGCCTCAGGGGCGAGTTATTTCGACCCCCTGGAGGAGGCATGGGTGATACTGTACGATTTTCTGAGCGACAGACTGCCAATTGTGTGTTTTCGCCAGTCGGTCTTGTTGTTCCGATACCCCATCATTGCACCCAGATTGTTCGTCACGGTGGATAGTTAGTTGATCCGGACGACATTTTGGGAAGATGCTGCGGTGTGTTGCCATCTGCAGAGTGGTCATTTGCCCTATGTCAGCGGAGCTGTGCTGCGTGTTGTTTGTGCAGCGCTGCCTCGGTCTGGAATCTCGCACGTGTTCTTATATTTGGGGAAACCGCATGCTTTTGCGAGCAGGTGAGGGCCAAACTACAAAGAAACTACAAAGTGATGCTCCCGATACGGCAGGCTTGACGAAATGGCCCCTGTTGGTTTGCGAGGGGTCTCCTCCGCCTTGCAGTGCCAAGACCTCCGACACCCTCCCGGCTTTCGTCCGACGTGGTCTTGCAGAATTTTCCTAACACCTAGAGCGTCACCGCTTGAACTCATGAGTGACCGTTTTGACATGTCATGCTTATGGTGCAGACTTGCTGGATCTCATTGGGGGCGACGGCCGCCAACTCTTCTGCCCAAACCCCCATTCCGGGCCCGAAAAGATGGATCTGGGCCAGAAAGTGACCACAAGCGCGACTCAGTTTCAGTACTTCTGCTACCCTGCTGCGACGGACCTGCATTTGGACCATGCCTGTCTCTTTTTTACAATACTTGACCTGCTCTTTATGACCGAGGGAACAGAACGCGCAACCCGTGGAACCCTGGGCTCCCCGGAATCGGTAACATTCGGCAGCCTGGCCAACAGTAACCGTGGCTCTCTCGCTTTCTCACACACTCATTTGGTCGGATGTTGTCTCCATGTGCTGCAGCTTTGAAGGACCCTTTAAAGATGCTGAGGGTTTTCGGGGGCTTGTCAGTGATGGACTGGGGCGGACCGGTTGGATGCCCACACCCACTGCAGCCCAGCTCAAGAGAAGCCTACGAGTTGCTGCTAGACGCAAGGACAGAGCATAGCTGAAAAACCACTCGAAGACGGCATAGCACTACTGAGGAGTCGGCCACGTGGCGCCCAACGGACAGACGTGTGACGTGCCACAGAATCTGCATGCTTCCGCAGCTTACATTGCAGTCCCACTTGCGCGTGTGACGATGCAGCTCCCAAACTAAACGATCGGCCGGGCGGCGGGTGGGAACACCAAACAGAACTTGATGCGAGCAAGGATTGGTTGGTAGCCGCCCATTTCCGACGGTGTCGTCAATAGTTCATTCTTCTGCATTTGCGTTAGCGTCGTTTTCGGTATGTTTCCGGATGTGGAATGGGCAGCTCGTATCATGAACCCAGACACGCAGAGGAGGGACAGCAGAACTCGTGAAAGCAGCTTGAAAGCCACAGCGCGTGCGCTACGCCCGACCTTGCGTTGCTGACAAGAGCGACTGGCCTATGGTTTTGCATGTCCGGAGCTGATGATTCAAGTATTTGCAGAGTGTCACTTTCCTGCCACACTGCCTGGCTTCAGGAGATCCCCGTGTCCATCAGCTATTATGCGATGGATCTCGTGCCGGGGAGGGTGATCTTCCCCACTGCGGTGGTTATCGGTTGGAGCCCCAGTTGAAGCAAGATTAGCGCGTAGAGATGTGGGTGTAACGTAGCGGCAGAGGTGATCGAGAATTCGCATTCGGCGAGACCGGAGTGCGAGTCGTGCCGCCGCATCTCGATCCTGCGCCTTGGCGCTCGCGTTTCTGGGGTGGTTTATGTTGATTCTCAACCGCTGGAAAACCCTATGCCTGAAAACCGTCAACTCTCCATGAGCCCAAACCCTTGCAGCCTTGAAGCTAAAACTCTACTCATGCTGCAAGGCTTCGAGGGCGGCTACTCCCACAGTGCTCCCGTCGGCACGGTGACTGGTGCCTCCGCCAACGCTGCAGATCAGCGATGATTCGCGGGTTGAAGTTGTGGTGTTCGGACTGGAGACGCGATGAAGGCATGAGGCCGCCACGCACGGTCACGCACGAATGGCCAGCTTCTAAGATGGGTTTCGAGATCTTGTTTCATTTGGAGCATAAATAGAGCCATGCTGTCAAAGGCAAAACAGGTCCACATCGCGGCATCAGCGGCAGTTTGCTTCAGGCCTCTTTGAGTGAAAAGGTGGGCGTACAATGTGCTGCGGTGTGCCTAGGGCCTCCGAGGGCCAACCAAGGCTTGCGCAAGGTTTTTCGGCATGCAAAGGCACGAGATCCTCAATTCTTGTTGTCGAGCTCTCAAGCAGCTTCCAAGAAGAAGGGTTTTCGGATTTCAGGATTCTGCTTCGCGGCCCATCATATCATCTACGGGTGCTGGACCTGCTGGCTGCAGCCTTGCGATCAAATGCAATTACGAGGGCATCCTGGGGCAATGATGTGACGTCTGCACGGGTTTTGGGAGTACTTGCGGTAGTACCCAGTCATGGTGCATATCCCTGACGTGGATTGTCCCTCCTTTGCTGTACATAAGGCTCCTCCGCGTTCGCAACTGACGTGTTTACTGTGACTTGGATGGAGCTCTTCGTGACGGCTACTGCTGGTGATCTTTGATTCTTGCTTCAGCTTGTCAGCTTGTGACTCGTGCTTTACCGGCAACCCCGGGTTACAATCTGCTCGCTGATGCGGTAAGCATCAACCAATGAATCTCGGCTTCGAGCATTCCTGGCGACTCTTTGGGCTTTGATGGCAGTTATTTGATGGCCCATGTCCGGAATGCGGTGTCCGTAACCGTAAGACCCAGAGTTTGAGGACTTGCTTGGCGATGGAAAGCAGCAAGACTTTGCTTCAGCAATTCCTGGCCTCGCTGCTAGTTGGACTTGGCTCGTCGTCCGACGTCTCGTGTTGAGGCTTTCTGCGTGCGGCACGGACGAGGCGAGTTGAATTGGATAGGGGTATTTCAACATCCACTGTTCGGGGCTGCTCGCAAGCAACGAGGAGCTAGTGAGGAGCTGCAAACAGTGGAATTCAAGGCGGGAAGAGGGCTGGCTGCACTCAGCTCAGCTGCATAAACAGAGGGCATCCGGCATGATTGCCTTTGGACATGTGAAATGCCCTGGAGCGCCGAATCTTCTCAGCAGGGTGCTGCCGCGGGGGTGCTGTTGCGATGCAGGCAGTTTGTCGTGACCCCCTCAGTCGACACGACTGCGATACGGCGATTGGATATCCAACCGCCATATGGCAGTCGTGTCGACGGAGTGTGTTACGACAAACCGCGCATCCATGCGGCACTTTGGCCCACTTGATCCTGTGTCTTCACTATGGATATCAACCTGGCTCAGATTTTTTCACGGGTTGCCCCGTGCCAGTGACGGGGATTGACACCTCCAGTGCTATTCTTGGCTCTGGTGCGCGTAAGGCAAGTGTCCGTAAGACCAGAGCTTGAGAGTCAACTCGAGAGTTGAAAATAGCGGCACTGTGCCACTTGAACCGGCGAGGATGCGAGTGCTCAAAAGACGACGCTCCGATGCAACATGCTGCTGCATACCTACACCCAAGGCGTGCCTCCACCGTGTTTTTGTTTATTTATGTGTTTCTTCATTGTTTGTTTTTTTCTAGATGTCTCTATCTCTCTCTCTCACTCTCTATCTCTCTCGCCCATAAAGCGTGGTCCAGTTGACTGTGATTCGTAGCAGGCTCGAAGTGATTTGCGAATGGATGATTTCATGACCTTCGTGCACTGGACGGCTCTGCTTTCGCTGGCATCGAGTCTAGGTCTTCATCTTGCGTGGTGTGAAAACGCAGCTTGAGTTTTCGACAACAGTGCACAAATCATGCAGCGCACCTAGTCCACTGCGTAGAAAGTACGGGGACTTTGTGCAAGGGTTCCGTTGGTGTGCCTCGATGGCTCGCGCTGGGCCAGTGGTCCACCCCTGAGAGTTCAAGAGACTGCACTACTCGTTTCAGGCCTTCGTTGTTGGAATCTAGAGTTTGCGCTGCATCTTGTGCTTGTGTACGCTAGCTGCAATTGTCGTGGTCGGAAAAGGATGGAAAAGGTTTGTCACAAATTCAGACAGGAAGGCAGAAGCTTGTCTGGACACGAGGGGTCAGTTGTGTGAAGCTGTTCTCTCTCACTTGAGGCGAAGCACAGCCCTGTGATGCGGCCGGAGGCACGAGGTATCGAGGAAGTGTAGCTGCTTCTTGTCTCGCGGAGCAGGTCAGCCGGCCATATCCCGTCCTTCTCGGCACAGATCGTAAGGAGACGTGCTGCGTGGATCCAGACAAGTAGGGAAAGACTTGCTCACATGGTCAGACAGCCCTTCGGGTTGCCGGAGAAGGACATAATACGTGTCAGAGACGGCTGGCACATTACTGACGCTGCCGAGAGTCTCCGCGCCCGGAGTGACACGGTTCTGCAACCCTGACGGAGTTGCTTGTGCAATCGAAGTGCAATGGACAAGCCCGTTCCTGGGTAGCGGCAACTGAATCCGGCAAGGTAGGCTTCGCTACTTCGTTTAAGTGTCACTGACGGATGCCAACGCCACTCCGCTGCTGGGACACCAACGCTGGCGCCTTCGCGAATTTAAAGGAGGTGAAGGTCGGCAAATGCCGGTTCCCGCTGAATGGAAGACAGCATGGCGATGAACAGCCAAGGCCAGCAGGGGCACACGTCCGGAGATAGTTGACGCAAGTCCAACGAAGCGGAGGACCAAGCAAAGAAGGAAAGATAGAAAGAAACTCGGGGGAGTTCACTCGACCTGCCAGCACCGGAGAAAGAGAGGAAAGAAGGAAAACGAAACAAAGACCACACCTGGCACTGGGGGCCGCGGCTAGGGGCTGTGTTGTAAGAGCATCCGGGTCCCGGATGTCCAGTAAAATCTCAGCGCATCTCAGCGCCCTTGTTGAGTCATGCAGAATGCAGCAAATTGCCGAGATTTCCTGAGCTGATGTGTCTTTATTTCTCGCAGGACAGGGTCACATCCCAGTTGGGCCCTGAGCAGACTCCTGCTTTTGCTAGTTGAGTTGAGCAGACTCTTGCTTTTGTTGGCTGCAGTTTGGGGTCTAAGCTGCCCTCGGAGGAATTCGAGGAAGCAGCCGGCGCAGGGTCGCCGCCCGGACCCCACAGGCTGTGCGTTTTGAGCGAGTTTTGCGTGGAGCCGACCGAGGTTCCGACTTGAAGGAGGCGTCTGAGTTTTGTCAGAAGCACTCCGTGGATCCCGCCTAGAGCCCAGATGTGAAGCGCGTTGCGTGAATTCGCTGCTTCCCGGAAGCGGCACGAAGGCAAGTGGAAGGTTGCGCCGCCGGAATGAGACAGGAGCGCCGTCCACTGCAGAGTATGAGTAGCAAAGTCTGGTCCACACAATATGGGCCGACGCTGAAGCTAGATGCGTTGAGGAGGCCGTAGCACCGTCCCAGAGTCTGCCCCAAAGAGGGAGATCGCGGGTGAACCTTTGGCGTTGAGCTCAATGATGTGATCTGCCGTGCCGCTGCCTACTGGTGTGATCATCCTCTTCAGCATTCTGGCCAAGCAAGGTTTCAGCAAAAGTTGAACTCGAGTACGAGCCGGATGAGGACCAGAGGCAAGAACTGAAGCTTGAGTAGGCAGGGGAGTTCCGGGCCATGGGGCGAAACAGATTTTCAGTCAGGAAATACAAAGAACTGATCGTTAACTGGCCGGGAGCCGAATTCCATACTTGTGTCATCTGATTGAAGCTTTGAGCCTCTCGTTTTGTCAGAGCTCCTTCAACTTCTCTTAAGGAACATTCGAGAGACTTTGCCGCTGCCCATCCAGCCGGTGGGCTCGACGTTAAGGCGTGGCGCTGCGTAAGGTCTGTGACCGGTTTGTCAATATGCTACTAGTAGCTGTAGCAGCAGCAGCAGCAGCAGTGCCAATATCGAGTCCATTGATTTCCCAGAGCAGTTGTAGTACGTACAAAGTAGGGGGGAGGGAGGGACGGGGAGTGGGGGGGGGGGCGCTGACTGCTCGCGGGCAGGACCATCCCTGAAGGCAGGGACCGGTGTGGATGTGTGTGTGTGTGTGTGTGTGTGTGTGTGCGCACGTGTGCATGCCTTGCTCGCTTTGCTTCGGCACTTGGCTTGTGGAAGTGATGTGGCCTCGCTGCGAGTTGGACTCGACTTGTCGTCCGACATCTCGTGTCGAGTCTGTTGCGTGAGGTACGGACGAGGCGAACGACGAGGAGCCGTTTATGATGCACTCGTACGATCTCTTTGTATTCTGTGGCTCGGATGCAGTCGTTTATGGCTGACGTTGTTGATCCTTGACTCTTGCTTCAGCTCGTGACTCGTTGCCCCGGGCCCCGCAGGCTTTGATTCGCCGGATCTGAATTACGACGACTACTTCAGCATGCCGCTCGACGCTTTGTATGGTGGTCTCTGGCCGTAGGGCAGGAAAGCAGCGGGAACTTTACACCTGATCGCAGGGCAATTCCGCATCCGTGGCGAGTGCAGTTCTGGGCACGAGGTTGCCGGCAAAGCTTGCAGACGTCAAAGGAGTGAGCCGAAACGCCAGGCAAGAACGAATGCATCGCCCTGCGTGGTCTCCATGATCACCCGGTGATCACGGGCTACATTCTAGAGGATCACACGCAGCCTTCCAGGACTGAAGCACCTGTGCTCAGCGACTGATTGGACTGGAGTCCGTCCCTGCTATCGTTGTATGCCCGTTGGTGTCACTCAGGCTCTCGATCAACTGGTCGGCCATTTGGTTCTTCTAATTACTCTCAGCCTTTCCCTCCTCGTTCTTGCCTGTGTTGGTACCTACGTTGCGGTCACTTTAACAATTGTGTCATCACTGTTGATACTGTTGTGTCCTGTTTTGTTGTGGTTACCACCATCAAGATCATCGTTGATTGCTGTCAAGATCGTGGTCGGCGGTATTGTGGGAGTGCCGGTCCTGATGTTGAATGTTCTTCACTATGACTGTAGCAACTTTTTTTTGTGGAAATCGTTGTGGGCTGTGCTGGTGTACGAGTGCCTCTTCACAAGTTTGAATTGGGGCTGCGTTGCCTCAGCTTCCTGCTGTGGGCCTTGCTGCTGTCGACGCATTGCGAGGAGCTGCGAAGAGTGGCTACATAAGCATCGCTACCCCCTTTCAGGCGGCAAGAGCGGCCCATCAATGGCTCTGGACGCGTGGAATGCGCTGTTGGAGCACTGAATCTTCTCGCTGCCGCTGGCGTGCTATTGCCATGCAGGTTTCTGCAGCATGGACGCGCAGTTTGTCGTGACGCATTCCGTCGACACAACTGCCATTTGGCGATTGGATCGACTGTGGCAGGCCAGCCGCGGGAGTGCTTTTTCGTAGCATCTTCCGAGCGAAGGTAGACAGTCTTGTCTGCAGGTTGCAGAAGCTGCTGCTTTGGGCCACAAGAAGGAACCTGTGCCACAGCCTTGCAGAGCCGTGAATGCGATCATGTCTATGTGTCCTCTCTTCCGTGCTGACTGTGGCCTCTACAGCAAACGCTGGCGTTTTGAACTGCGTGCTCCAAAGTGCAGGATCCACGAAAGCCTTTGGATCTCATGGAGACCATGGAGAACAAGTCGCAGCTGTCGGACAGCCGATTGGGAACGGTGCGTATGCATATCTTCTGCTTCCGTCACATGTCTCAAGATGAACCTTCCCCGATATGTACAGACTCCTGCAGGAGTGCAGGGCCGAGCTGTGGCTCAAGAATTCGGAAGGCCACCCCGGCCACCGCATCACTGTTCTGGGCTGTTGCTTCTGCACGCAGTTCCTCACAACTTGTTGCAGGTATGTATCCCGTCAGGAGGGACAAAGCCCAAGCCTTTGTCGCAATCGTGGGTGAGTACCTCCCAGGTCAGGGTTGCGGAATGTGATTCTACTGCATGAAGCACGAAACACGGACCAAAGTGACATAGGCCGCTACTCTTGTATCAACACACGGACGAGTGTCTTTTCTAGCTGCGACACTCAAAAAACGGCCTACTTCTGATCCACCTGCTGTGCCACTCCCGTGTTTGGCATTGGCAGTCAGCTGAGAGGTTTGATCTTGTTCAGTATCCACTTCCTAGGCCTCAGGAGTCAAAGCCTGAGCGTCAGGGTTGCCCGAAACGAAGCCTTTTTATCCTAGTTGTGTACAGAAACGCATAGCGACTTTCCAAACAACTTCCGCTTGTCGTGTCCCTACGATGCATATTACCGTCTAAGGCCCATCTCTCTCTCTCTGTCTCTCTCTCTCTCTCTGTCTCTCTCTCGTTCTCTCTTTCTCACTGTGAGGTGCCAGCAAGCATCTGGGCCACCTCAGGTTCTAAGAAAGACATGCAACCAACATATCCAACTCGACCGCAGCAGTTACATTCCATCAGACTGGCGCGGCTGTGCTCTCGTTGCAGGGAAGCGAAGCGCAACATACCGTCCTGACGATGGCAATGGCGGCGTTGTCCTAAAGATGGACAGCAGCGGGTTGCTGATTCTCACCGTCGCCCGTGGTCCCGAAGTCCGAGGCTCAGTGTTCGGGTAGTGTCCTTAGGAGGGAATGCATTCGGCAAAAAGGCAGATCGTCAACTGGTCATGCGACAAAATGCAAGATTCTGAGCTCAGTGGATATGCCGGGTCGCTGGTCGCAACTTATCCCAAATCGTTTTCGGCGGTTGTCCTTGCGTGTCAGCCTGTCGCCGGCTCCGGGGCGACGCAACTTCCGTTGCTCTTCTCTAGCAAAACACGAGATTCGAGAATGGTAAGTGGGTGACATCTCGAAATCGGTAGTCTCGGCAGTCCCGTTTTCTCCACTGCAGAGCCAGACCTGTAAGCCAGTAAAGCGCGGACGTATCGTGTCTCCACTCCTGCTGCAAACGAAAGTCGGGCAGTGATCCCTACATGTCAATGTCGGCCACTTGTCTTGTGTCTTGTGTGAAGCAAAAGACTTGTGGCCTTGCTTCTCGAAATCATGCTTTGCATTTGAAGTAGCGTTTTGAGACTTCAGAGCTCACAGTGTCGAATCATGAGCTGGCACTGTACCACATGGAAAGCTGCGCATGAAGCTAAGCTCAGATTGACGTGTACGCGATCTTGCCTCATACCTTGGACGTGGTGCCAGTGACGGTGGTCGACACCTTCAGTGCGATTCTTGGCTCTGGCGTGCGCGGCGTAAGTCAGAAGCTTGTGCACTGGTGCAGCAGAGGCCTCGACTCCTCCCTGGAACTGGTGTTCCCGGAGGACCGGGCCTCGAGCATTCCCGATTCCCAGGCTCTTTTTGGCCCTTGCGGCGGTCAGGTCGGCGGCCGCTTCCGCGGACTTCGGGCACGACTGGAGCAGCCGGACAGCGCCACAACGCGGGCGACTCAGGCTGCCAGGCAGGGTTCGCAAGTGTTTTCCCTTCAGCGTCGTTTTCGCCGTCGGCAGCAGAATCTTTGCTTGGCTTGTGGCGGTGATGGTGGTGCTGGCAGTCGCGATGATGCTTCATGTCTTTCCTGATATCGTAGATGTGGTTTTCGTGCCTTCCGAGGTCGTACGATGGGGACTATGCGGCGGAGAACAAAGACTCTCCGTGCGGCGCCCAAACCTGTGCGCCACATTGCTAACCACCGGCATCAGGGCCTTTAAAACGGTGCAGATGACGTCACGACAAAGCATTCTCCAACCATCCACACATCTTCATGGCACCATCTCGGCTCGATCGCAAAGACGGCAAGCAACCGAAAGTACTTCTCAGCTTCCAGCAGCTTCCGCTCTGTGACTCTATTGCTGTGACGGAACAGGCCTCCAAGCTCCAAAAGTTCTGGCGTACTATGCTCCACACCTCCAGGCCCGCGACATAGATGAGCACTCTTGGAGGTCTTGAGTGTGGTGAGTCCAGCCCCTGACTTCGCTAGATTGAACTCTGCGCAGGTCTGAAGTCACCTGGCAGCACGCCGTGCGGTTCCTGGTGGTCATCAGACAGGGGCTCTCGGTCAGCGACATTTGTTGGCGTTGCGGCTCAGGCCAAGCTCTTTAAAGGGCGGCGCTCCGCCCCAGCCCAGGCCCAGCAGACCTTCGCTTCATTCCACCCGCGCATCCCTGCACTTTGTTCAACTCTGCGTCAGCCCCTGCGAGGCCGAAGTCCAAGGCTGGCGTTGGCCAGCACCAGGTCCGCACCCCGCGAGGCACCGTCTCGTAGGGTCGTCAGCCTTTGAAGAGGAAGCGCAGAGGTCTCCTGGTTCCAGGTGCCAGCCTCCACAGTACGAACATCGGAAGAGGACGGAACCGTCCCTCGCTCTCACATACTCTCATGCGCCATGCGTGCGTGACGCATCCGGATGCCAGGAGGCTTGGCGCGCCAGATCTCGTCGCGAGGTGGACTGGCACTGGCCGTGATCACGTAATGTTGGTATTCCCGCGCAGCTGGGAGGGGGGGTCCACAAACTCGTTGGGAAGCTGGCCGACAGAATCCCAATATGAGCAGCGTTATTTTTGTCCACTTCTTGACGGAAGACCGCAGCTGGACACAAAACTTTCACTCGATCTGAAAATCGCTCTGGGACCCTGGGACTGTGCGCACGGAAGGACGCGGAAGGGCTGCGGAAGGCGTTGCTGCGCGGAAGGGCGCGGAAGCAACAAATGCGTTTAAATACGTAAGCCGCGTGTTAGAAGAATACGTCCGTCGATAAGACATACAATATCCCGAAATTCTTGAGCCCAGTTATCAACCAAGCTGTTGGCGGTTTCATAATGTTGCCCGCGCGTGGCGACAGGGAGATACGTCAATTGCGGGGTTTATGCTCTTGCGGAAGGGAAGGGTTCGCTTGCAAAACGGCACGCGGAAGGGACGACAGTGATTCAAAAATGTGCCAACGCTTCGAGGCGCGGAAGGCTGCGGACGCAGTGGCGGAAGGGTTGTGCGGAAGGGGTTTTTGCGTCCTTAGGATTGAAACAGAATACAAAACACCGCTCATATGTCTGTCCCAGTCAGGAAATGTGTGGAACAGGGGCAGAGCAGCGGCCCAAACGGGTTGGGGTCCCTGCACACAAGAGGTTGGCTGAACTCGGGGCTGGAATGGGAAGCAAGATGGAGGGCAGGTCTGTGGCGACAAACCAGATACTGTGCAATGCGATGGCAGTTTTGGCTTGAGAAAAAGACAGGCGGGGCTCATCAAGCCTCTTCGGGCGTATTCGCGCCAGGCACGGCTACACCTGCATCTCCGAGCCGCGTGCAAGTCTCACGCGTGGGCATTCGGCAAGGCTCCACTATTCTAGCTGTCAGACACTGTGACCTCTTCCTCTTCTGCTTCAGAGTTCACATGGCTGAATCTTGCTGCTGCGCGACGTAGTCTCAGCGATCGTGGTAAAGCTGGTTGCAGGGAATCAAAGCGACGGTCGGCCTACTGTTGGCCTGGCACTGACTTCATTTCTCTCACAGTCAGCCGAGTCCTGGCGGTTGTGAGAAGGCATTCGAATATCGGATAAGCAGCGGCCGGTCGCCAGCCAAGGCAGGTGCTTTCGGGATGCTTTTTGTGCATGTCACTGCAAGTCGCTCCGGAATGGGGCGAAATGGAGTTACGGAGATTTTTGGGACTGGCAGGCGAGCGCTCCCAAACCCGGAATCCAAAAACTTTTCAGTCCAGCGGGCTTCTAACCTTGAGGGTATTGCATGGGCATCCTTTTCCGCGATCAGGACGTCGCAATGACTCCGCGTCCACATTAGGTGCGACACTGTGCATTGGCCAGTGTTTTCTAGACCCGTGCAGTCTGTTGCCGTCTGTGGAACCGAGGCGTGAGAGTCTCTGAAAAGCATTCGATATCGCCGAGAGGCCCATGCATGTTCGGGCTTTTGGACGATTTTTTCCTTCTTGGTGCACTCGCGAGATACGCGTCCAAGCACAAGCACGGCGCCCACGGCAAGTCACAGCCAGAGCCGCAGCCCCGAGCTTGCTATCTCCGTCGTCTAAGCCGAGCTGGAATGCGTCTTAGTTCGTGCTGCAGGCAGAATCCGCCAAACCGCAGGCGAAGCATTTCTTGCTGCCCGGGACCGTCTTTGACATTCATCTGCATTGCCTGCAGTTCGCAGCGATGCCAATCGCCTGGTCACAAACCTCTCGGGCGGCAGTCCCACCAGCCAGACAAGCCGGTCACCCAGACGTCAGAGCTCAGAGATGAAACACAGAGGGATGTTATTCGCCCAGCCTGGAGGCCATGCTAGCGGCGCATCGAAAACGGTGCGTCGAGATGTCAAGCCATTGCTGAAGGCCGGTTGTAATGCCGCATTGCCGCATTGTCCCACACATTGTCAGAAGCGCGGGAGAAAGCACACATGTCTCGAAGGCGGCAACATCGGAAGGAGTCCGGCTGCGCAGCCGATCCGCCTCCACTGACAAGGTTGACCGCCGCCAGGCCAGCTGGAACGTGCAACTTAAACTTGTGGTGCTCCGTCTGAGTCGTGGACCAGCGTGGACCTGCCGATGGGAGGTTCGAAATCCAGACGGAATGCCGAACATCTGCAAGCGACCATGCAATCGAAAAGAACAAAATCGAACTCCCGGCTTCACACGACGTAGAATTCCTTGCAGAAAGATGCAACCCCGGACAGACTCTTGTACTAGCAGCGTGACGGAACATCCACTTCTGGACTGCATTGGATGCATTGTTGCTTTCTGTTTGAGTGGCTTGGGTTGGTTGCTGCAGTGTGTTCCGCTTACGGAGGAATCCAACGGGGTCCTCGTTTAAAGAAGCACTGCAAACGGCTTTGTCCCGTAAATGGTTGTGTCAAGCTTGAACTGTCAGTCTAAGTGTATGCTTGGACTGCTTGGGTCCGCTTCTGTGGCAACAGTTTTGAACAGACGTGTCAGGCGTCGCCGAAGCTGGTAGAAACACCTCCGCGGCCAGAGTCCGTTGAGCCCGTCGCGACCTCAATAAGGTCATATGAAGGTCCTGTCTGCGTCACTCTCTGATAAAATGGTTTGCATGCGAGCGGAATGAGTACTAGTAGCTGTGCGAAGCCGCCAGCTCGCAAGGTTCACAAGGCAGGTGCGCCGAGCACACCTGCGCAGGCAGGGCAGGGTGGAAGAGTGGCTGCAGCGACCCGACAAAGAGCATCGTGGCCAGACCAGCTACGTGGCTTCCCCGCAGACATCCTGCCTACGGCTTATTGGAGGGCTGGTGCCATTTCAAGCAGTTTGAAGCAGCTCAGACTGTGCCGACAACAGCCATGGTGGTTCTCAAAAGCACAGGTGCGCCAGTTGCGGCCCGCATCCCGGCCCAGAGGCGGCGACATGTGGGTCTCACTACATGCACCGGATTCGTGAGCTCGCGCCAGATTCGCTGTTGCCGCACCGAGCGGCCGAGGCTCTTCAGGCAAGACACATGACAAAGAAGACCTAACACCTCACGGTCACAAGCCGAGACCCGTCTTCGCAGGGGCAGTTCCGGTGAATCAGCCACGACTTCAAGGCCAGCTGCGTTCCACTTGGGCGCAAAAGGAGAGTTCCCTTTGTATGCAACCACTACGCAGCATCCTTGCAGGTCTCTCCTCGTGGCCAAGTGTATGGGTGCCACAGGTGATTCCAGCAGTGCCGGCAGTACCAGTTCAGGCGCCATCCGTCGGATCTTGCCCTGTTTCTGTGCTTTTAGAGTGCAGCTTCGTCGGAGCCGTATTGCACAATCTCGATGCCACACGCTGTCCGGAGGAGGTGATAAATTGCATTCATTGCGTAGACAGGGGCGTGCATAGCCGGTGCCTCTGACAGGTTCCAGTTTCAATGGTGAGCCGCAGTTCTCTGGGACACCACTTCGCGCACTGCTGGCTGGATTGCCGCAGCTTTTCTGCGCAGTTGCTGGTCGGACTCTTGTGGATGGAGGTACTCGAGGTCGAGCTTTGCCACAGTTGCAACGGCTGCCTATCCCAGCGCCGGGGTCCTGGAGGTGTTGCTGCCTTTTCAGGTCGCTAGAGCAGCAGGTTCAGGCAACACGAAGATGTCCATGGAATTCCCTCCCCAGTCAAATATTGATATGACGATGATGCCTTTGGGCTAGCCATTGCAAGTCATCTGTAGCTCAGCACTTCGCAGAATCGCAATGATTCGCATTTTACGGTTGTGGTGTTCAAACCAGTGACACGAGTCGTAAAGACATGAGGCCACCACGCACAGTCACGCACGAATGGCCAGCTTCCAAGAAGGGTTTCAAGATGTTGTTTCTATGACCAATGGAGCACAATGGAGCCATCCCGTCAAAGGCAAAATTGTCCCATATCTCGGCATCAGCGGGATTTTGCTTCAGGCCTCTTTGAATCGCTGGCCGCGCTGATGCGAGGATGCGAGGCGCACAAAAGGTGGGCCACCAATGCAACCCGCTGCCGTGTACCATAGGGCCAACTAAGGCCCGCATTGTTGCTTTTCGCGGTGCAAAGGCTTCAAATCTCGAAAACTGTGATTGCATCTTCAAGCTCAGACTTTTGGATCATGTACCAGTTTGGATACTGCTGGTCAGGTATGATTTATGTGAACTGTTGTGGATGTCAATCTGTGCTCAGCTTTTGCAGCGGATTGCAGTGAGCATCAGCCTGCAACTTCAACA